AGTACCCACACCTGGGCCTCCACAAGTACCTGCTCCAGGGAATCCAACACACTCTTCTTGCCTTCATGTGAACTCATACACAGGTTACACACCCACACACACTCACACATCGCACACACATACTCACTACATACATGTCATACACATATCACACATACATCACACATACACATCACACACACTCACATAGCACACATATCACACACACACATCATACACATCACACATACATCACATATACACATCACACACACTCACATAGCACACATATCACACACACATCATACACATCACACACATACACATCACACTCACACATCACACATACTCACATAGCACACATCACACACGCTCACACATCATACACATCACACACTCATACATCATATACACACCACACACATCGCACATACTCACACATCACACTCACACATCACACATACTCACATAGCACACATCACACACACTCACACATCATACACATCACACACACACATCACATACACACCACACACATCGCGCACACTCACACGTCACACACATACGCATCACACTCACACATCACATACACACCACACACATCGCACACACACATCGCACATACTCACACATCACACTCACACACACAAATAAAAATTAAAAGCCAATCTTTAAAAGCCAGCCTCACGTGCTGTTTTTTGTAGGAGTGCTGACCGTTACCCAGCTCAGCCTCGTCGGCCCCGTGAACACTTCCCATTTCCAGGCTGTAAACCGCCCTGTCTGCAGCTGCGTCCAGTGCTCTGTTAACCCCGGCCTTCCCCTGTAGGGAGATTCCTGGACGTGGGGTTCTCAGATGACATGAGCGTTTCTTCAGGCTGTATCCCAGACCACCAGGTCGTCAGTTGATGGCTGTTTTCAGCCCTTCACCTGGGCCTGACTCGGGCAATGAATTCTAAAACCAGCTCTCCCCCGGGACAGGAAATGACCTGTTAGGAAGTGAGATCACCTGAGAGAGTTCGCCTTAGTCCCTCAGAAATTGTGTGCTTCAGGTTAGATCTGAAGCCGGGTGACGTGTAGGGCTGAGGCTGTGACCTCGCCTTTGGAATATCTTGATGTGAACATGCGATGCATGTAGTGTTAATCATGTCGTCTGGGGAGTGTCTCACCACAGCGCTGCTACCGTGGAGAACCGAGTGTCTCTGGCTGTCTGGGCTGTGGGAGTGTGCTCCCTCAGCAGAGGCTTCTCAGACAGACAGACTCCAGGTGGCCATGGACTTGTGTGGAGCAGAGGCTTGCAGGGGCCAGGCTGGTGCGGGAACCCCCCACCTGGTTTTCTTCCTCATCGATGATGGCATTTTGAGCTGTTGGCTTGACTGGAAGGGTGTGACCTTTGTTTTAGCCTAGAGCAAATGTGAGCTGAGCAGATGTGCCAGCGGTTCCTGGTGTGGAAGGGGGGAGCCCTGGGCTGAGAGTCGGGAAGCCAGAGGTCCGTCCGTCCGCTCGGCTGTGTGACTTCATACGGTTGCTGTCTTCCATACTTTGGCTTGCTCTCTGTAAAGGGGGGGCCGGGTCCCTTCTCAGCGTCCTTAGCACAGGATAGGGTCGTGGAGGCGGATGGGCAGGAGACAGGTGCTGTCCAATTTGGTTTCAGAGCTGAGAGCTGGATGCGGGCGGGAACTTTGAAAGAGGCGTTAACAGCCGTCCAACACATGAAACTCTCCAGGGCTCCCTGGTGCTTCCCAGCTCCCTGTTTCCCCTTTAGTGATGCGGCATCATCCTTGGAACCTTTGTCCCGATGTCCCCTGCTTGGTGCCTGGCATGGAGCCGCGATCAGCGTGTCCACGGATGTCCCTTTCCCTAGGCATTCATACCTGCTCCCCTGAGCATACATGTCCTGGTCCCACGCTAGGACACCGCCATTCTCCTGTTGCTGTGCTGGATGAAATATCTGAATTGAAGACGGAGGTTGTTTAAACTTGGTTAGCCGTCGGAGGCTGATTAGCTGTGGTGACCCCACCCCCATCTTTTGTGGCTCTGTGAGGGTGGTTTCTACCCTCAGTGTTTTGCGCCAGTTTGACTCCCATTGAGGAGGAGCAAGGAGCTGCCTTTGCCTTTCTAGATCCAATAATTTTTTTCTTAAATACATTCTTCCGGCCTTCTCCTTGATAAACGTATTTAAAATAACAGGTTAGCCGAGAAGCACAAGACAAAACCTGACCCCTGCCTCCAAACGCTGCTTAGGCTTCGGGATAGGTTCCTGTGTGAGTGTACCCGAGTTCACTGGTCTCTTGAATAGATTGGATCCTGTGCGCCGAGCTGTGGGGGAGCAGGACCGGACTCAGATAGAACTGGGAAGAAACGGAGCCTCATCCTGAGCTGGTTCCTGCAGCTCCGGTTCCCACCTCCTGGAGTCTCCCAGAGGAGAGAGGGAGCCCTGGCTCGGGAGCCCAGGAACTGGAGCAGAAGATGTGTTTGAAGCAGGGGGAGGCGAGAGAGTGTCCCCGAAGAACAGCTTTCAGCTCTGTAAATAAAAGCTGATAGATTCATTTTGGGATCGCTCCAGAAACTTTATTCCCAGGCTGTTTATTTTAGGCTCCTATTTTGAGGTTTGTTTTTTTGGCAAAAGAATGATAAAGGAAGGCACTGGAGTGCTCTCCATTCTTAGTAGGAAAGTTTCCAACTTGGGGGTGATCTGGAGCAATCAGTTACCATGCTCACAGGCGACTTGGCTGTTCTCACAGTGGGCACTGCCCCGGGCGTCCCAGGAAGACACAGAAACACAGGGTATACGGAAGTGCCTGTTACACACACACACACACACACACACACACACACACACACACACACACACCTCTTGGGCATCCCTGGCCTGGGTTTCCAGGCGGACCCCAGAGCAGGAAAGCAGCAGAAGTTGCTTCTTGTCTTTCACACCCAGAGGGTGGCCAGAGCCAGGTATCTGCTGTGGCTATCAGCTCTGGGCTGCAGCCACATCGGGGCTGCCTGTGTCTTCTTGCCTAACAACTTTGAGATAGTTTTTTTAAAAAGTATGTGGTTTGGGAAGGTATGTTCTTCATCATGCACCACATGTGTTAGAGTTATACATACACATATATATGGCTATAATTACGCGTAGAGATTATCAATCTATCTGTGAAATGGAATTTAAAAATCTAAAGTACTTTTTGTTTTAGCAAGGTGAACGATTTTTGATTTTTAAAGTGTTACTTATTGTTGTGCGTGAGTGTGTGCGTGCCACAGCACACAGAAAGAGATCAGAGGACAACGTGGTGGAACCCGTTCTCCCACCCACCTTTCCGTGGGGTCTGGGATTTGAACCCTGGCTGTCAGGTTTGCGTAGAGAGCACTTTGACCCGCTGAGCTATCTTGCTGGCCCAAGGCAAGCTATTTTCAGACATGAATCAGGGAGGAATGGGCTAGGGAACCGGGCACGGTTAGGTTTGAAGCCGTGCCGCTCTGCGGTGGGGTTTCCTGGGATTGCTTACCTGATCTCTGTCAGCCCGGTTCCCCAGCAGTGTGTCGGAAAGTTGGGAGTGTAGGGAAACGGCCGTCTGTGCTCCATCGCGATGTTGGCCGACATCGTCACTGCTGTTTGTGGTGGCAGTGGTTGTGTGCACCGTGCCCTTATCCTGTGTTGAATCTTCCTAAATCCCAGCCCCAGGGGCCAGAGAGCTTCTGTCCTCCAGGAAACCAGTAGAGTGGATTTAGTGAAGGTTACTCTGGCCTGCTAGTCACACAGATGCCCGCTGGCAGCCACACAACGGGGGCCCGGATCTTCCGAGGGCTTTCCTCGTGATACCAACACACTTCAGGAGGGTGCGCGTGTGTGCGTGCGTGCGTGCGTGTGTGTGTGTGTGTGTGTGTGTGTGTGTGTGTGTGTGTGTGAATTTGCTTGATACCAGCGTACTTTAGGAGGGTGCATGAGTGAGTGTATGTCTTAATATGCATGTGTGTGTGTGTGTGTGTGTCTGTCTTTATTTGCTTGATAACAACACACTTCAGGAGGATGCGTGCGTGTGCGTGTGGGGGGGCATGTGAGCGTGTGTCTTAATTTTCTTGCTCAATATATAGTCTAGAATTTACTTATCTGGAATTCCTGGGCCTCTTTCTGGAACTCCCACCACCCCATTGCTGAGAGTTAAACATGCCAAATAAGCAGCCTGCCCCTGAGCCACATCCCCAGCCCTGGAATGCTTTTCAAAATAAAAAGACGGAGGCATCGAGATTTAATTTTCTCCAGTGTTTGCTAGTCCATATTGGCCTCCCCACACACACCCAGGTGCCAGTGGGGGCCAGGGACACGGTGCCTCCAGCGGATGGGAACAGACTTAGTTGACAGCTTAGGGTGACATGTGAGTCCAAGGAGAGGGGACATGCAAACTCAGACACCCGGGGCATAGGACAGTCTTTAGAGTGTCATGGAGGAAGGGTAAGTGGATTGAGTGGGTGGGGGCTGGGCTGGGAGGGCCAGAACACGGACACCAGTGGGACACCATGGAACAAGCTGGCTCCTGTGGCCTGCCCAGGCTTCAGAGAGCACCATAGTCCCTCTGTAAGGAGGTGGCAGTGGCATGTGTCTATGCCCGGATGTCATGAGCTTCAGTGGGGGAGGAGTTGATTGGCATCGTCTATATTTCTAAGAAGGGTTAGTACCCCCTCTTAGACCAGTGGCTAGTGCGGTGATGGGGCTGAGGAGGATTCTGGGAAGCCGTGGGGAGATGGGGTATCTGAGAGTCTTCTGGTGTGCCGCAGGCGGGGGAACCTGAGGGGACACTTTCTCTCATGTCGCCGGCTGCTTCTTCGGGCACAAGGGTTTGATTTTGGACTAGGAACGATGCCTCTGCTCCTGCAACCTGACTTTTCTTCAGTGCGTGTTCTGAGGACATGCTCCATGTTTAATTCCAGGGACGTGTTTGGTCTTATTTGCGACCGGGAAGGACCTGGTGGTCCAGGGGGCGACTGCCGGGCAGGTCCGTTAACAGCCCCTCTGTTTGCTCTTCCAGCGCACGTGGAGAATGAGGAGCAGTACACCCAGGCTCTGGAGAAGTTCGGGGGCAACTGTGTCTGCAGGGATGACCCAGACTTAGGAAGTGCCTTTCTGAAGTTCTCTGTGTTCACCAAGGAGTTGACGGCGCTCTTCAAAAACCTGGTCAGTGTTCACTGTGTGTGCGGCTGTGGTGTGAAAGCCTGTCACGCCGCCCCTGAGAAGGCGGCCCAACAGCTGGCCAGGAGAGCTCATTTCTGATCATCCAGGGAGATATTCTCTGGCTCCTGCAGAACCTAAAACAACTATACTTTCTATGTATTCATAGTCGGTACCTTTGGAACAAAGTTTACAGTTTTAATTTTTTTTTCTTTAATATGACTTAAATTTAGCTTGGCACTTTAAACTCTCAGGTGCAGGATGGAATGGGTAAATTCTCTCATCTTCTTCAGGGCCCCTGACTTTAGTTTCTGGTAGTTTTAAAAATGAAGACTAGCATGTTCTGGGTGGTGTCTCGTATACTTTTCTGTGGCCGGGAAGAGACTCCATGATCAAGGCAGCTTATAGAAGAAAGTTCATTGGGGGCTGGCGGACGTACAGTCCCCAGAGGGGAAATGTTCGTGACCATCATGGTGGGGGGGCTTGGTAAGAGGCTGGCAGGCATGGTGCTAGAGCAGCAGTTGAGAGATCCACGTGCCACACGAGGCAGAGGGAGACAGAGATAACCAGGAATGATTTGGACTTTTGAAACCTCAAAGCCCACCCTTCATGACACACCTCCTCCAACAAAGCCACACCTCCTAATCCTTCCCAAACAGTTCCACCAACTGGGGACCGAGCATTTAAATACATGAGCCTACGAGGGGGGGGGCACTCTCACTCACACCACCATGTGATAGTGGGCATCCATGCTGATGATATCTAATAAACAGAATTCGGATTTATCTTAGGAGAAGCAAGGTAACCTGTACTCGAAGCACGGGATTACCATGGATGAAAGGATTTCAGGACTGAAGGAAAGGGCTGGCTCCGTGAGCAGAGAAACACAGGGCAGGCACCTGTGGCCGTTGCTGGGTAGCCCGGGGGTGGATCGGCCATTTCTTGTGCTTGCAGCTCAGTGCCGTCCCTATCTGTGGGAACAGGGTTCCGAAGAAGAAGCCGGCCAGAGGGTTTGTGATCCTGCCCTGGTGGGTGGTTGTTTCCCCAAGAGGGGTGGGCCCTAGAGATCCCTCCAGCATTTCCTTCCTGTTTCCCTCCCCCAGCTTCTCCCGAAGGCTCTAGCAGGGCAGGCCAGGCCTCAGTCGGCTCTCCGCTGAGGTCACGGGCAGCCAATGTTTTCAATTTTCCTCTCAGCTCAATGACGAGCGAAGAAACAGCCCGTCCCGGAGGTGGTGGTGGTGGCGGAGGTGGTGGTGGTGGTGGCGGAGGTGGTGGCGGTGGCGGTTGGTCTGTGGGGCTGCGTCTGTGGGTGGGAAGCAGGGAGGTGCAGTGTATGAGTTTATTACAGGAAGGGCAGAGAGCAGGATCGTTCAGGCCGTGTGTCCCCCTCTCTTTCCCCGTGTTAGCCTGAAAATGGTTTCTCACAAGCACACAGCTGCCACAGTGCTTAGGTTGTTCTGTGTGCTTGGTTGCCAGTCTGTTTTGAACTTGGCTGAATCTGAAACCTCTGGCGTTATAAAACCTGTCACTCTTTGTCCCCGTCCCCCACGGTGGCAGGCAGGCTGGCGGCTGCCTCTTGGATCTGCTTCCCCCAGGTTGTGGCAGACAGGCATGCGGGTGGTTGAAAGGGAGGAAGGACCTCCTTTGCACAGCCAGGGTAAAGCTCTCTAGAGGCTGACGTGACGGGGTTCCCCAGGGACAAGTCACTGTGCTACCCGAACGCTGAGCCCCTCACTGCAGAGCGGGCATCAGCTTCTCAGAGCTTGACTTAGGGGCACAGATAAACGTCCTCAAGAGCGAGAGACGGGAGCAAGCAGGAAAAAGGACGTGGGGGGAAAGAGAGATGCAGAGGGCAGAAGACATTGAAATAGATGCATACACAGGATCCCCTCAGGGAGACCTGAGGAAACCCTGCATATGCATGGGGACCTTGGGGCGTTTCTGGTTATTGGAGGAGTTGGGGGTGTGGGGGACCATTAGTGTTTGAAAGTAGACAATCTGGGGGGACCAGGCATCAATCGGTCGCACATCTTTAATCCCAGCACTCGGGAGGCAGAGGCAGGAGAATCTCTGTGAGTTTAAGGCCAGCATGGGCTACAGAGTGAGTTCCAGAACAGCCAGGGCTACACAGAGAAAATCTGTCTAAAAAAAAAAAAAAAAAACGAAAAACAAAACAAACAAACGAAAACTCACGAAAAGCCATAAAAACCTGGGGGCTGAGGAGATGGGTTGGTTGGTTTTGGCAGAACATTTGCCTCCCAAGCATAAGGGTGTGAGTTTGGATTCCCAGGATCCATGTATATAGCGCACTTGTCATTCCGTTGAAGGCAAGATGGGAGGCAAAGCCAGACGGAGTCCCAGAAGCTGGCAAGCCAGCTAGTCTGGCTTACATGGTAAAGTTCCAGAGCAATAAGAAGCCCAGCCCATAGAGAAGGCATCTGAGGACCAATGCCCAAGTTAGTCCTTTGACCCCTGCACGTGGGCATCTGCGTGTAAGCATTATGCGTCACACACACACACACACACCACACTATCAATCTGACAAGATTGGGTAGGAAAAAATAATCTCCCAGGAAACAGATCAAGAACTAAAGGACAAATGTGAATTAGGAAGGATGACTCTCCCAGCCAGCTTTGGATGCAGCAGCAGCACTGTTTGGGAACTCTGAGGTGGCAATACCTTGAAATACCGATTAAAAAAAAGGACTCTGCCCGGCCTCAGGCCCAAGCCGCTGAGTTTGAACCTCGGATTAAAGATGTCTTCACACACACAAGGCTCCAGACGTCTGGCTCCAGTGCGTCATTCCTCTGAAACTCCGGCAGGATGCGCTTTAGCAACAGAAGAAGGAAGCAGAGAAGGAGGAAGTGGATGGAGTTGGGGCGGGAAGAAGGTGGGCAGTGAAAGGCAGTTGAGGAGGATGGAGAGCAGCCTGCCCGGCTCAGCTGGGGGTGTTGGAGGCGCGTGGGAGGCCCTTGCG